TTTTTTTTTTTTTTTACGTACGTGTACACACGATTTTGGGTTCGTATGTGTACGCTGGAGTACGTACGCGTACGCGTACGGGGTGCTAGCCAGGTACTGAGAAAAAAGGTTGAGCTTTGTTTCTAAGATGAATGACTGAATTCTTTTGGATGTTTCTTCTGAGGGAGGTTCAAGTAAAAAAATAGACATTGTTTCTAAGATGAATGGTTCAGCCTAATGTTACACACATTTAATAAGAATTGGGAATAAAACTCTTTATATGTTTACGATATATATATATATATATATATATATATATATATATATATATATATATATATATATATATATGCGAACAAGGTCAGTCGGATATTATTTCTAAGATGAATGGTTCAATCGTACGCTCACTTTGAACATCCAGCTTAGAGAGGTACATATAACTTGACTATGAAACAGTTCATGGTCGATTAGACATTGTTTTAAGGATGAATGGTCTAGTAACATGTCCAATGAAGAAAAAAGTAGTTGTGCAACTTGTTCGTGTATAACTAAGGCGAAGAGTTTGACATTGTTTCTAAGATGAATAACCTAATTCAATGCCCTATGTAAGATGGGATAAAAGGTTAATCACCTTAGGGTTTAACCAACTACTTGCATGATGGACATTTTTTATTTTTTGAACGAAATTGAAACTGAGTTTTTTCAATTTTTTTGGTCGAAAACTTTGTCTAAATTTGCTGCTCTTGAGGGTCCAGCGTTTTTAAAACGTTGGACTCCCTGTATGTATCTGGACCTAGCTTGAGACGAGATACATCCAGGCGGTCCCCCCTGGATGTATCTGGTCTCAAGCTTAGTCCTGATACATCCAGGGAGTCCAGCGTTTTAAAAATGTCGAACCCTTTGGATCAGCAAATTTAGACGAGTTTTCTACAAAAAAACGTTGAAAAAACTCAGTTTCAATTTCGTAAAAAAAAAATAAAAAAATTCATTTTAACGAAATGGTAGTTAATTGAGATTTTGGTGAAAGACTTACTTTGGTTGTATGTGTCGCTTTGATTGTAAGTCTAATTTGAGTTATCTTCTGATAGGTAGTTGCATTACATGCTCGTCATGTGCTGGAGCTATAAAAGTTAGTTCAACTTATATTTTCAGAGTTTAAGTTTATTTATCATATTTGGCTTTGTATAAATTTTGAAAAGATATTTTGGCTAAAGGAAGTGCCGCCCAATTTTTTAAAAATCCAAGGAGTTAGTAAAAAAATTTTCTTTACAAAGTTTAACTTTTGTCCGAGTTTATTATCTGATTTAGTATAAACATAAAAAACTTACTTTTCTAAAGGAGTGCTACCAATTGTTTTGCTAAATCAAGGAGTTAGACAAAATTTTGACTTTGTAAAGGCAAAATTAGTTTTAGAATTTATATTTAGCTTTATACAAATTTTGGGAAGACACTTCGTTGGGGGGAGCGCTGCTGAAATTTTTACAAAACTAAAGGGTTGAATTTTTGTGTTAGCAGAGCTCAAATTTTGTCTTAACGTTTATACATGGCTTAATATAAGTTTAAGAAGCTTACTTTTCTAGAGGAAATTCTGCCATAATTTCTACTAAATCAGAGAGTAAGACAAAATTGGACTCTGTAAAGTCAAAAAGTTGTTCTTTAATCTCGTATCTATTTGATTATGAAGTCTGAAAACATACTTTCTCTAGAGGGAGTGCTGCCGAAATTTTCCTAGTTCCAAGGAGTTGGATTATATTTAGAAGGAAAAACTTGGACAAAGTACCCTGTACAGGGGAGATGCTCTAGAAATTTTCTCTAATCTCTTATATCATATAGAGCTAAGTTTAAACTTAGTTTTATGATAAATTGAAGTGAGATGTAGCATAGGGGTTTATCCTCCGTGCACTTAAATTTAGCTTTGGGAATTGGCATGTGTTGTGTTACAGACCCTCCTTGGTTACTTTGTTTCAAGACCACATTAGTCTCAACACGATCCTATGAGGATCGTATTTTGTTATATTTTGATAACAGGTCGATTTTCCGGCTAAATTCCAACTCATTCTCGCTACTCAACCTATGGTCTTAGCCCCTGTGAGTTGCGTTGTTTCTTTTGGGTTTTTACCCGGACTCTAGGTAGCACAGCGAACGTGTTCACGCCCCTCCATGTTTGTGCGGACGTGTTCGCGCGTTCGTACGAACAACTCGTAAACGTATTCGGACGAACATAATTTTTTTTTCGTAAAAAATAAAATGAAATTATTTTTTTTGCTTCCGGTTTTTTATTTTTAACTCACATTTGGCTAAGAATTTGAACATGATTCGTGACAAAAACTCCTTGTGTTGTTGTCTTACATGACATATATATTTTGTTTATATTTTGCTGGGATTTGTTTTTTTTTTAAATATATTTTTATGTTCGCGTTCGGAGGTTCTTGGATATTAGTTTGCGTTCGGGCGAACATGTCCGGGTTCGGCTCCGAACGCAAACATGATGCTACGCAACTCGGACTTTTATCAAATGACCATTCAAAAAAGACCGAGTGTTTTCTTTTGGAAGGTTGGGGCTTGTGTGGATAAGGCAAGGGGTATGAGTACAAATAGTGGTTGAAGGTGAACTTATGTAGTGCTTGGTCTGGCGATGTTGAATCTTTGGTTTGATTGCATGTATGTTTTGTGAGTTGAAGTCCAGATTTGAATTCCCTGCGATCATGTGTATATTTTGAAGGGAGTCACACTGTGATTTTGAAACTGATCGCCTCGTGTTCTGTAACCCCGTTTACATCTATGTTTTGTATATCCTCTCCCGCACAGTGTGCAGAAGAGGGGAGGTTGCACAATCTCACTCGTGATTGTCTAGCGTCAAGAGATCAACCCCTCAAAACGCGTGTCAGTCGACACTTGAGGGTCACTTCCACTGAGGACCGCATGATTATAAGCACCAAATAGTATGCCACCATTATGACTGTTTACATATTCATGCATGGCTAGTCGATATGACAAAACCTACGTCATTGCGATATTTATTCATTAATTCCGCGTGTGACACTCGTTTATTTTGTCGTCCAAAGGTTATGGGTCCGATGTAAAAAGGGACAAAGTGTGGTTTATGTACGAAGTTTGGTTAACTTTATTTTTGCGAAGTGTATCGCGTGGTTAAATGGACCGTCCTAGTCGACTGGCTCAGAGTTGTGCTTGGGAAATCAATCCCCAAAGCGTCGAGTCGTGTACAGGTCCGATTAAGGTGTTCAACCGCACGTACCCCTGTGCTACAGCATACGAGAAACACCCTTGGTTGGGTCACGTCAGCGATTGCACCTGAGCAGCTTTCACACGTGCTTTGGTAGCTCGAAGGGGATACGTCTGTCCAAGGGTGGTGACATCTCCTTGGGCAGAGGTAGGTTGTGCCTTACATGGCCCCTATCCTGTTGCCGGGGTGTAACTTCGCGAGAGGTGCGGCTGGCGCGCTCGGCCGGAGCAGCGAAAGCTCCACTGGGAAGAAGTCCTTCAAAATCCTGCGTGACGCGGCCGGGAGGATCCCCCTGCAGGACCGATGTGCTCGACAGCGGGGCCACGGCCGAGATGTCTCGGCCACGCCAGACGGAAAAATAAAATAAAATAAATAAATGGGGCCACGTCGTTGACTGAACTGCTAAAAAGGGCCAGCCCGAGTTTCAACTGCATTTGAAACTCGGGCCCTGACTAAAGTGCTAAAACGCAGTTCAAAATGCAATTACAAACTGCTTTCGTGACCGCGCTGTACTTAACCCAAAAAAGAAAGAAAGAAAGGGAACCTGATGAGTGAAGGGGTGAGCCCTTAGGCCCCTTATTCTGCTGTACAAGGGTACCAGTTGTAACCCCTTACCCTGTGTATTCCTACTCAGAGTCTGGAGTCCTGTTCTCGTCAGTGAGGTTGAACTCTGGTTGTAGGCTCAAAGGGGCCTGGTTTTCCTTTCTTCTGCACCTCGCCGTGTGTGTGTGTGTGTGTGTGTGTGTGTGTGATGTGTGAATGGTTTCAGAGGCAGTTTTTCTGGCAATTGTTTTTTTGTCGCAGGGTAGAAGGG